GCCACTCTCTCTCCAATCTCTCAGTCCTGATCCTCAAGGGAAACTTGCACACTTCCCAGAGACGAGCCTGTGAGCTCCATTTCATCAGCCTCCTGGATACTAGAGATCATGGACTAAACATAGACATTAGATTTTTGACACATTACACCTGGCAACTGACGCCCCAGCCCAGCCCAGCCCAGCCCAGCCCCTGGCTTCTTTACTTTTCATTCCATCCAGGAAGAGCACACACCAACTGCTGCAGCTTCCCTAGCCTGACGAAGGGTTTTTGAACCCGAAAGCTTGCTTAATAACTATTCTCCAACCATTTGGGTTGGTCTAATAAAAGATATCAAATTCACCCAAGGAACCTTGTCTGTCTTAAGTTGAAACGTCGTAACTCAGAACCAATTTTCTCATAAGAAACAATGTTATAAATGGGGGATTGGTTCCAGACCCAAAGCCGGATACGCTATTTTCACCAAAAATACCCCAGAATTTTGTATTCAATCAATTATAGATGAGTAACACAGCTACATTAATATATTTATATTGTAAATAGCAATCATATTGATTTAGAAGGACTTCTTTGAGGTGACTTTGCTGGACTTTTTGAAGGGTTCTTGGCTACAGTCTTCTCAGGAGTCTTGGCTGCAGGTTTTTCTGGAGTCTTGTTGCTTTCTTAAAGAAAGCGTCCAAGGAAGTTTGGACAGATATTCTCCAGGGAGATGAGTGACGCAGAGAACTTGTTAGCTGGCATGGCACTGCATCGGATCAAGCATCTTAAGTGGAAACTGGCATTGTAAAGTTGAAATGGTGTCAATTTATAAATGTTGTAAGTGCAAAACATTGCAAGTCGAAAGGTTGTAAGTCAAGGACTGCCTGTATAACATTTTATTCTGTAGCCAAAATGTGGGCACAGCTGATATAATATGATATAGGGCTAGATTCTATTCCACCTGTTAGGTATCTAAGTAGATTTAAGCGCCTAAGTACAATTCTATTCCACCCTGTTTAAGTCCTGAAAATCCATTAATGCACTTATTTTCATTCCATCCAGGAAGAGCACACACCAACTGCTGATACTTCCTTAGCCTGACGAAGTGTTTTTGAACCTGAAAGCTTGCTTAATCACTTTTCTCCAACTATTTGGGTTGGTCTAATAAAAGATATCAAATTCACCCAAGGAATCTTGTCTGCCTTATTTTCTGACACACTATTATCCAGGGGTACACCAACAGAGATTTTTTGGGTCTATACCGATAGCTGATTTTTAAGGAGGCATATTGGTTGATACCAATCTGATTTCTGATACACAGCCCGGCAGCTTTAAGAGCAGTGTCCGGCTGGTAAGACTGTTGTGGTGGAAGGGGAGGGGGAAGGGAAGGGGCATAGGGGGCCCCCCGCAGTGAGGGAGGAAGTGGGGCTGGGGCAGGCACTGCCCAGCTGGGGCAAGGCTGGGCACAGGACGGAACCATGGCTTGTCTGGGGGGCATGGGGAGGAGAGGCAGCTCCCCCCGCTGTTGCGCACCCTGGGAGGGTACGGGGGGCATGTGACCCCAGATCTGTGCAGGGCAAGGTGGGCTACGCCAGGCTCTTCCCAGCAGGGGCTGGGCTGGGCTGCACTCGCAGCCAGCAGCCACAGTGCTAGGAGGGGAGCAACCCCAAAATTCACTGTAACCCCCCAAGCCCTCCTCCCAGCGCCTCCACCCACCCCGCCCTGAGCGCAGCCTGGCTCAACCCCTGCCAGGAAGAGCCCAGTGCAGCCCCAATCCTAGCCTGCAGCAGCAGCCTGCCCCATCCTGTGCAGATCCAGGGGGCAAACACCCCTCCATGCCCTCCTGGGATGTGTGCAGCGGCAGGAGTTGACCCCCGCCATCACCATAAACGAGCCATGGTTCCATCCAGTGCCCTGCCCTGCTGCTGGGTAGTGCTTGCCCCAGCCCCAGCCCCTTTCCCAGTCCCACTCCCTCCCTGTGGAGGCCTTGATCTTCCCCCTACATTCCTTCCCTCCCCCGCCCCTTCCACCACAACAGACTTACCAGCTGGATGCAGCTCTCCACGCTGCTGGGCTGTGCTCCTCACCGCCTACGTGCTGCAGCTGAGCGCATGCACAGGGCATTTATCAGCCACGTTAATCAGCCACATCAGGCAAAAAAAAGCCATTTTCCAATACGGTCAATTTTTTTTTTATATCAGTGCTGATCTGATATCAGACTGACGTATCAGTGCACCTCTACTATTATCTTATCCTTAAGACTGAATTACAAAAATGCAGCAAGGAGGAGAGGGCCCCAACCCACCTTTGGCAGTAATTGCTTTTTACGGACTCAAACAAGGTAGATTAGAATTACACTTAGGCACCTAAGTCTACTTTGATACCTAGGGTATTTATACACATACCTTTTCATTCGGCAATGCACTGGAGATCCGCTGCTTCTGAGCAGACTCGATTAATTGAGTCTGCTTCACACACACACTGATGCGTACTGTGCTGCGCTGCGTGCAGGTGTATAAGCTGTGAAATTCACGTCAGCGTGGAGAAGATGGTAGCAGTGCACTTTTGAACTAAAGCACCTCTGAGGTGTTTTAGTTCAAAATGGCACTGCTGCCATTTTCTTTATGCTGACGTGCATTTTGTCACTTATAGAACTGCAAGCGTTGCAGCACTGCTCATTTTTCAAAGTGCCCAGTATTGTGGCACTTGCACATGTAAAAATGCCAGAGGTGGAATAAGATTCAGGCCCGCAGTGTGCAGGAGGACACACCTGTGTATGAGAAAGGTGCTTTCACCATTAGATTTGTTCAAAGAACAAATTAAAGCTACATGCAAAAAACTGCCAAAAATTTATCAGAATTCAATGGATGAAAGAGTGAAAGGAATAATGTGATTACCACTGTTTGGTACAGAGACAAAAACTGGGTATTCTAAAAAGGCTCCATCAGGGGTTAAGACAATCTCTCCTAACTAGCAGATTTTCCCCTTTTAAGATTAACAGGGATGTAGATGGAACCCCAGCCTAATATATAAAATACTATGAAAAGGGTGGAACACATGAACATTCAAGCTGGTATCATTTGCTGACAGCTCCAAATTAAAACTGATGGAAAGCATTTTAATTTTGTTTTGCAAGAATTCAGCTGTTCCTTTATATTGGTATAACTAATGTCCTTTATTTTTCTTCCAATGGGCATTTTACATCACTTCCATCATTCACTTGCTCTGGAACCACAAAATACCTATCCAATCAAAATGCTACAGAGAGAGACCTGTCATTCCCGAGACTGGTAGACCAGGGCTCCTAGCTATTCCCTGTCGCCATCAACATCCTCACCTATTCCTTGCTATTCACACCTGGCAATTTGTCCATCATTTATAATTATTTTATATAAATATAGTAGCATATTTATAAAAATGATATTTATTGTGTTTGCACCTCGCTAATCCCTTAAAGAACTTTCCCATAGCCATGAAGTCAAGCTGGTCAGAGCAGTTAAACACTACTGTCTGGATGGCCAGTGCTTTCCCCAGATCTTTAGTTGTTTCAGTTTTGCCTGTTCCGGCTGGTCCTGCAGGGGCTCCTCCAAATTTTAGGTGCAGGGCTCCTGTCAGTGTCAGGTAACATCTACAGCAATGAATAAAACACCAATTAGAAATACTTCTACTCAGATTTAAAGATTATAAATCCCATTAAAGTACTTAGGGTGACTTGCTTTATTTGTACAGGAGAAAATATGACTACTGGAAATCCAGCCAGTCATATTCAAAGAGGCTTACTTATTCAACACAGTGCACAGGGATGTAGCTAAGGGACTTCAAATAATACTTGGTCTCTACTAGGGCTGTGTGAAGCTTTGGGTGCCAATTCGATGGAGATTTGGCCCGATTTGGCAGCTGAATCTCTGAATCTGAATCAAATCAGGAGACCAGTTAAAAGGTCTGAATAGATTCGAAGCTCTCTGAATCGATCTGGAAAACATTCGGAGAACTTTGGAGATTCCGGCAGTCCTTGCTCACTGCCGCAGGGAGCTGGACCTGGACTCTGTGCTGGTAAGTAGGGGGCAGGGAAGGGGAGGCTGGAGGAGGGGGGAAGGAACCCCATCCCCTGCCTGCTCCTCCAGTCCCCCTGAATGCCCCCTGCC